CTATATCGTACTAGCATGCCTTCCCTGTCACCATTTTTACCGTGCTTATTTTTAATGTAGTGGTGTGCTTCTTCTAGCGGCATTCATGAAAACCCTTCACACTCTACGCTTTCGTTTTCACCCCCTTAACCCTTGTGCTGGGAATGTTGACCAGAGCCTGCCATATTGTTACGTAGTCCTGCCCTGGGTCCTATTAGAGTCTCCCTCTTGCCCTGTAGAATCCGTCTGCTATCTGCCTAGTACACGTATTTCACTCGACCCCTGCCCCACCATCTGTGCTACTCGAGGCGTTATTTGCCCTCCCCTGCATCTAGGTGACTAATACGAGGCTAAAGCCTCTGAGTAAGTCTCATGGTCATGCATTGGCTACATGGACCACGTCTCTTTCAAAACCTACTGTCAGCCAACTAGCTCCAATCGCCGCCTCGTCTATCCTGTCTCTATCCCTAATATCAAGTGTATGACTTGTCATGCCCTAAGTTGTTTGTGTGCCAACCCACAAATGTTGTGGTCCTGCTGGCCTTGATTAGGTTCAATGCAAACAATATTGTGCTCTTGACTGTTCCAATGTAGCCTAATAATGTGCTACTACATGTGGTTATAGTGAAGCGCAATCATATTGGCGACCGGCTCCAGGCGCCGTTTACAGAGCTCCTAGCCATCATTTAGCCCAGCCTTCCTCTACACCGCTTGTCAATTAGGTGCTGCTAAACATAAAAATTACTAATTCTTTTCATATATAAGCAATATATTTAGACTTCCAGCTAACTGTTTATGAAGTGTATTCACCCTGTTTCTTTTTAGGTGATTAAGCACTGGCAGATGAATTTTCCCCACAATGATATGAGTAGGGCTGACGTTTCCAACGAATTTCACATAGCCCTGCATTCCAAAAAGTTGTTCTCACCTAGGGTGGACTGTAATTTCGACCTCACATAGGTCTTATGGACACCTCCAGCGGGAGTCGAACAATGACAGTGCAGCGGGTAAGCTAGACACGCGAACCATTCCGCCACGTTGACACGAGTGCCCTTGTGTCACAGGACATATGAGAATTTAAAGGTCAGGCATTTTGATCCTATCACATTCTTTGATGGGAGTGCTGATGAAACAAAGTTATATTTGCTATAACAATCGACTACATTACTTATTTTTCTTCCTTCATCCTCTTAAACGAAATAGTGAATAAACCTCATCTAATTGATTTGGTAGTAGTCTCGAAACTCGGCTTATAAACGAAAAATAAGTAATGTAGTGGATTATTATAGCAAATATAACTTTGCTTCATCGACACAACCATCAAAGATTGTGATATAAGGAAAATGCCTGACCTTGAAATTCTCATGTCTTTAATCACCTTAAACGAAATAGTGAGTACATATCATATAACTGATTTACTGGTAGTCTTGAGACTCTACTTATACGAAAAATAAGTAGTATAGTCGAATATATAGCAAAAATACGTATGCTGCATCGACAATGCCACCAGAGAATGTGATGTGGGAAAAGGCCTGGCCTTCTTTGAAATTCACATTTTTTCTGTGACCCAAGTAACTCATGGCAATGTGGTAAAGTGGTTAACGTGTCAAGATCAAATGCTAAGTCACGGTTAGACTCCCGCTGGCAGTGTTGATAAGACCAAGTCGAGATCGAAACTGCACTCCACCCTGGATAAATTCAATGTGAAATTCAATGTATACGTCAACTCTACTCATATCATTGTGGGAAAAATTCAACCAGTTCTTGATCATCCAGACGAAGTAGGGTAAAAATATCCCGTA